GGCAGAAGTCGACAACAAAAAAAAAGCGGGCCGCTGGGCCGCCACGCCGCACTCGGCACTCCGGTGCCATGGCGCAGGCCGTCCGCCCCTCCGCCGAGCACGATGGCCGCGCCGCGCGCAAGCATCCTCGTGCAGACTTGCCTGTGAGATCGCCACTCTCGAGACCTTCCCGTCGCGCGCGCTCTACGGCAACAATTGAGCAAAAAGAAGAAAGGCTTTTACATTGGGCCGCAAGGCACACCAGCAGGCGGCAGGCCATTCCTCTCCCAAGTTCTGCATCAAATGTTGCGAGCTGTCTTTTGGTTTTGGCGACGCCGATTGCCAGCGCTTCGCCATCAAAACGTGCAAGTGGAACAACGTCCCGGGAGCCGCCGAGATAGATAACGAGCCTGTGGGCTGTGCCTTCTCGATCGGCATTTAGGCGTCAAGAAAACAAACCAGGCGATGGGCCCGTCTGCAAGGGGCAGCTGCCCAACTAAGTGGTGACCTGAAGGAAGGCGGGACCCGCGTCAGACCGCGTGGGCCATGCAATATCCCAGCGCCCAACCAAACCCGCGAGATGCAGAAATAAAATGCTTTGATGGTGGTCCATCGGACTACCTAATTTTTTATCGCTAGTGGCTGCCGGGAAACCGAACCCAGACGAGAAACACTTCAGTAATAATAAGCTGGGGCGTTTGCCTCTTGTGGGGTTTTGCTTCGTTTGGGCGCATTTGAGTTCGTAGATTTGATCCGCCGAGATGGCCTCAAGTAGGCTTTTTCTGCCACAATTTAGTCAAGCGGCGGGGGAGGCGATAGGCGTAGAGAAGCAAAAGCTCCGCACAGTGCGGGAATTAAACGAATTGTTGCGAACATTGCTTTCGTGGATGTTTTTAAAGCTAGAAAGGAAAATATTATTTTTTACTCACGGCATGCTATGTAAACTACCGCGAAGAAATTGAGTAATGGCAACCTGGCCTGTTTAACGGCGCCGCGGGGTGCAAATTCACCTCCCGACACTTTGGCGGCACTTGATCGAGCATTCCAGTTGATACTACGATTTCATTTTAAGAGCCTGTAATCGGGAAGTTGACAATTTGAAACGCGAAAAGCTTCACTTATTTTGGCCAACCCTGCGCAGTCACAGTTGAAATCAAACGGCACAAAAATGGCAGCTATCCCGCTTAAAAAACGGTTGAAGCTGTGAAGCCCCCCCGCTGAATCCAAAATAAAGCCTGTACTGGAGCACCCCGTCATCTCTGAAGCGCAGCGGTGGCGCGGCAGCAGTTTTCTATTAGCGTGGGCGCCGCGCCTCTAGGAATGTATCGCTTTTTTTTTGCCCAGAATCCCGACCTATCGAAAAATCGCCCATTTCATCGCAACCCCGCCAGAAAGTTATGAGCTACATCCTCGCGGCTCCAGGAATTTTTTGTTCTCTTATCGAGGAGGCTCTGCGCCCGCGGGCCATTTCATTCATAGGTCTAGTTGCGCCCCCCCGCCCTGTACTAAAAGAGGCCTGGTCTTAACTAGCCCTATGAATGGAACGGCCCCGCGGTAGCCACGCTTGGGAACACGCTTCTCTTGGAGAGACCTCGGGCAAAACCAACAAGGACCCACCCTGACAAAACCGGCCGCGTTGCTGCGGCGCCTGGGCTGGGTTCCTCTCAAAGCGGGAAGCCAATAACCAGCAATTAGTTTCTTCAAGTCGGTGTTGGCCTTCGGTGGCGGCAGTCGGTTTTTTTTTTTTGGGGGGGGGGGGGCTGCGCCGTGTTCAGGAGGCCCGGGCAAATGCAGTTGCTTTCCCGCCAAACGACTGCATGCGCCGACATGTAGAAAAATGTCTCGCGCCATGGATTTTTCACTGGCAGCTTCTCCGCCATTGCGGAGACGCGGAATTGAATCCGGGTCCTGTTCTGCGGATCGCTCGGTGGAATGCCGGCGTTTTCTCTGGCGCGAGAAGCGAGTCCCTCTTTCGGTGAAGCGGTTGGTGGAGGGGCAAGTTGCATTGCGTGTTCTCTTTGAGTCGCATTTTGCCGTGGACGAGTGCGGGTGATTTTGTTCAAATTCATTTTCGGCATTTTGGTTTGGCGCCGACGCCCCGTGGCGGGGATCGGCGCCCTCACCGGCCCCCGCAAGGCAGAGCAGTTGACTCGGGACGGCCGTGGTCGCGTTGTTTCCTCCGGACCCGCCCCGTCTGGGAGGTCGCACGGCCTGCAGCATTTGGGGGCGCAACTTTGGTGGTTCGGCGTTTGGCAAACGGTTTTTCGCGCGTGCCGCGGCACCGCGGTGCTCGAGTGGAGGAAGCCGCCGGTGAAGCTGCCGCCTCCGTCGCCCCGGGCGAGACGCTGCCGGACTCGTTGCGAGTCGATTGGTGGGCGGCCCGCTTCACGGCGGGCAGCGACGACGCGTGGGCCACGCACGATGCGCAGGTTGGCGAGACAACAAATCGCCCCATCGTTTTTCGCGGACCCCGCGGGCGGCGCGGCCGGAAGGAGGCAGATTGTGCTGCGCATGGGCGCTGTGTTAGGAAGTATTCGCGAGCAGACGCGGGGGAAATACGCGCCACCCGCCGCCGCAGCAAATGAATCAAGCGCGTCCGGGTCTTCATCCGGAAAAGAGCAGCGCCCCGCAAGAGACGCAGGGACGACGGCTGGGTGGATCACCGGGAACCCCCGCGCATTCGGCAGACGGATCGCTCATCCGTAAATATCCACGGCGGCATTCGGCAGTTTGCAGCCGTAGTCTGCGGAGCAGTGAAGCGCACTGTGCCGCATGCGGTGGCCAAACGCCCGCCGCTCCGGACGCCGAAAAGGAC